GTGTGTGTGTGTGTGTGTGTGTGTGTGTGTGTGTGTGTGTGTGTACAGCAGACCTCTCAGACCTCTCAGGTCAGACTTGAGTCTGCTGGAGATGGATCTCTTACAGTAGACAATTGAACCAAGCCCATTGAAGCCATCCTTGAAAAGAATCTACTCTTGAGGCTTTGGTTCATGGGGCATGGCTATTTATTTATTCATTGATTTATTTTTTTATTTCTGTCAAATCATTGAGAAGGGCCAGCAGAAAGACTGTCTGAAGGGAGGCCTGGGACCAGAGAGTCTGGGATTTCTTAATCAAACTTCCAAGTGTTATTTTTAGTCTTCTGCTGAGCTGGGACCCCAAAAAGAATCTGCATTTGATATTTACATCTCAAATCTTCAGAGCCTCATTAGCTTTGATATTTATTTATTTATTTATTTGGGGGGGGGAGAAAGGAATTAAATCAAACAGAGAGGCACTGAGTAAAACCTTTGAATGTAGTGCAAAATTAATTAAAACAGGCAGCTGATGGCTAGGGTGGAATACAATAGATTTCAGGGAGCAGACAATGAAACTAATTAGGCTCTGGTGGGAAAAATCCTTCCTCATTTGGTGACCATCCATTGGCAATTAATAAGCCACCAGTATTGATATTTTGATATTTAAAGAAGAATAACAGAATTTCATTCACGTTTTTGAAAAGGCTTCTTTGTATCTTAACTGTGATCTTCCAAATTAAGCCAATGAAATGATTCGAATTTTTTATTGTATGTTCCAGGGAAAATGGTTTCGTCTTTGCAATCAACTGGTTAGCTGCTACCTGGCCTCAAGATAGTGTGTGTGGATGGAATCCAACAGTCCCAACCAAATACAAGGGATATTTAACTCTGGCAGTTAGCATTAACCCAGACAATGGAGCCAATTTGTGAATGTAAATAGAAAAGATGTCAGCTACATTTTGCCTCTGGTTATTTTGAAGCCTTATTTCATCATCCACACTTTGTAGATCTGTGAAAAAGTATTTGCATCTATCCAGTTGAAAAGCCCTTGGCCATCAGTGTAAGGGAGACTTAGCTTTACTTAGTGTGAGACAGCACGGAGGGGGTCTGGCTTCCTCCTTGGAAGCTCTTTTAAACGAAATGATCAGTTGGCATTTGTGCCTTTTGTCCTTCTGTATTACGCAACAGCACAAATATACAACTGGCCCAGTGGGACAGTTTAATGCATGACTGACTTGTCACAGGTTTTTCAAATTGGTCACATGAGTCTCTGGTGTGCCTCAGGTCTCCTTTCCAGTTCTTTTAGAATCCCTGTCTACAAGTGCCCAGCCTGGCATCGAAGGCTCTCAGGGTGACAACAGGCCGTTGCTAGCTTTTTAAAGAGACTACACCTTGAGAGATGCCTTGATAAGTTTCAGTTCAGAATTTGAAGATGGCTAAAACACTGATGGTGTAGTTTCAGGCTCTGTGGTCAGTAGATGACAAGGATGCTTTTGAGCAAAAGACATTCCAGCAGCCCCTCAAGGCTCGGTGCACACGGGTAGCCCGTTTAGAGAATTCAATGAATGATGCCATTCAGTTTTTCTCCTGTAAAGTAAACCACAGTGATCTTAAGGATTTCTTGAAGTCTGAATAGTGGCTATAACCTTGTACCATAGAAAGAGAGGGAGATAGTAGAATAGAAAGATATTTTGTCATGTGCAAAGACCCGAGGTTCTCCTTTGTAAGCAGCATTTGTATTGAATTCCTTCCCCCCTCCCTCCCTCCCTCCTTCCCTTCCTTCCTTCCAGTACTGAGGATAGAGTCCAGGGCCTCACACAAGGCTAGTCAAAGGACTCTGTCACTGAGATAGATCTGAAGTTTCCTTTTTCTTTTTAGAATTTTGAGGCGTGGCCTCACTAGGTTGCCCAGGCTAGCCCGAGACTCCCGCTGTAACCCAGGGAAGCCCTTAAACTTGCTGTCTTCCTGTCTCAACCTCCAAAACAGCTGGGACCACGAGCCTGCGCCACTGTGTCTGGCTTCTACTACTTTTCATTAAATTTCACAGTGACCTTCTGAGGTGGGCACTCCTGAACAGGAGGGAAAATGAATTTATCCAACCATCAAGAAACTACAAATACTGGACAACCAGGACACCGATGAAACCACCAGTACGGGGTCCAGATGCCCTTCATTGTGCCCAGCACTCATTACCGTGTGGGGAAGGTGGATGGTCAGAGGGGAAGGGAGCAGCCAGGATGGCTGGCTGGAATGGAGCCTGGGAAGCCATGACTAACTGGCCTGGGAAATGCTTGAAATTTTAAGTGGCTACAGGATGTGATGGAATGTCAGCTATGATTTTCATCGCTCTGCTCTTCAATGGAAAGAACTAAGACTGTGGTGGTCAAGCAACATTTTGGAAGTCACCCCACCAGAAAGTAGGTCTGAGTTGGAAGCCATCTTGGACCTTTCAGACCCCCAAATTCGTGTAACCCTTATGCTAACTATAAAGGTGTCTCCAAGCTGACCTTAGTATGTCCCAGGCTGGCTCAGCATTTCTTGATAAAGATATGGAGGAAAGGTTCTAGACACCAGTTTTAGTAGATGGAGAGGTTCCAGATTTAGTTTATAAAAAATTAAGACATTTGTTTGGATTTGGTCTTCATATAAACAATGAGTAATGAATGTGAATGATTTTAGCATATACCTTGGGACATACTTATATTAAAATTTATCCATTGTTTATCTGAAATTCTAATGTAGTTGGGAATGCTATTTTTTTCTGGAAGCCCTGAGTAGGAAGGGCTAGGCTGTCACAGGAATACTTAGACATTCCAAGTCCAGGACGTTTCAGTCTGTAGAAACACTGATATCTAAGATCCTCCCTTTCAAAGCCTATGACCTGAGAAATACTTCTAATCCAACCCCCATCGCTTCTTAGTTCTAAATCGATGGACTCTCAGGATGGAGGGAATTGAAGTCAATCCCCCTCCCTCCGCTTTTCACATCTCCCTGTCTTCTCTTCACACAAGAAGGCAAAAGCCAGTGTCCTGGCACTATGGCTTGGCTTTGAAGCTAGGCATGCCCTAGTCTCCCAAGCACATGGAAACAATTCCCTTCCCAAAGGCCTTCATGGTTAGCCAGCTGCACGGCGCACGGTTTTGCAGCTGTACTTATAATTTCTGTGGTGCCCCCACCCTAGCCCAGATGGTATCTATTAGAATGCATTGCTTTTGAAAAGCAAACTGAGTCTTAATTAAAGGTTGACTATCTGAAGCCTGTTTGTAAATGAGAAAAATTAAGCAACCACTCTGAATAGGGCAATATGTCGCCTCTGTGGTTGGAATAGCGCTGTCTCCACACATAGAGGGGTCTCCTGTGCTTCAGGCTGTCCCTGTAATTGCATCTGGGTGCTTTGTTGCACAACAAACACAAATGAGCCATGAGGCTCAATGGAACAGCTAGAGTTGCTTTCAGAGTGAAATGGGCCAGTCCCGGAGTTTCAGCACATCCTCTCACAAGTCACTGTTAAAACACAGTACCTGATGACCTAATAAGAAGTTGCTCGGTGTCCCCCAAACTAGGCTACTGTCATTGGTAAGGAGGCCAGGTGGGAGCTAGGAAAACCTAACCTTCACCTCACCTCTACATCAAGAATGTAACAACCCAGTGAAGACAGAAATGCATGTGCCCACATCATTTGAACAAAAGCTCCTAAAAAAAAAAAAAAATAGGTGCATAAAATGCAGGAAGTCCATATTTGGTTGAGAAAAAAAACAAAACAAAACAAAACTTTTTTTTTTTCTAACTTCTGGCTGAAAGCTAACATTTCCTTTAATTCTGAATATAAGACGACTCAATACAATCTTACCAATTCTACATACAAACTCTGTGACATTGTCATCAGTAGCAGTCACATCCCAGGTGTTCGATAACATCTGGAAACAGGCTCATTACTCTTTGGAAATTGTAATGATTATTGGGCCTACCTCTCGATCTTGCTCTTTAATAAAAGCACATACAATACTGTATCATTTTAAAATTATTTACATAACTTATTCTGTGTAACTTGCTTTGTAAGCCTGTCATTCATGCATGTGAAACATGGTCTTACAAGGATTCTTGAAGACATTGTGCCAACAAAGTCAGAGAGTAAAAGGTCCATGCTGTGTCTGTGTGTCTGTGTGTCTGTGTGTCTGTGTGTCTGTGTGTCTGTGTGTCTGTGTGTCTGTGTGCTTCCACCTTCATCGGGCACATGGAGCAGTCAACTGCCTAGACAGTGAGCCGAGCAAGGGGAAGAAGAGTGAGTTACTGTTTGGGTTTGGTCAAGGTCATGGTTTATAGCCCAGGTTGGCCTCAACTTTCAACCCTCTGCCCCCCCCCTCGCTGTTGGCATTACAGGGTGGATTACTGGGCCTAGTCATGAGTTATTTTGAGGACAGAAGTTTTAGTTTGGGGAGTTGAAAAAACTGTTCTGGGGGTGGATGGTGGCTGCACTGGAAAGCAGTGTGGTTCTACTTAATACCATTAGGCGATTCTTCTGGGAATGGTTAAAAATTGAACCACCCATGGTGGTGCATGACGGCAACCCCAGAATCTGGGAGGTTGAAGTGTGAGTTTGAGGCCAGGCTGGGATACAGTGAGACCTGGTTTCGAAAAAGAAGAGGAGGAGAAAGAGAAGGAGGAGGAGGAGGAGGAGGAGAAGGAGAAGGAGGAGGAGGAGGAGGAGGAGGAGGAGGAGGAGGAGGAGGAGGAGAAAAATAGTAAACTTTATGCCATGTATTTTTGTCACAATTTTCTAATATCCATTGGAATGTTACAGATGTTTTCACATATTACATTTCACACCCTGTGTTTTCCTGTAAAGCAACCCACAATCCTCAGCAGACCTTGGTTCTAAAGCAGTGGTTCTCAACCTTCCTAATGCTGTGATCCTTTAATACAGTTCCTCATGTTGTGGGGACCCCCAACCATAAAATTATTTCTTTGCTACTTAATAACTGTGATTTTGCTACTGTTATGAATAGCAATGTAAATATCTGAGATGTGACCTCTGTGAAGATCGTGGCCCACAGACTGAGAACCACTGTTCTAGGGGACTTGCCCATCCTGAAGTGAGGTACACCTTTTCAGGTCTGCTGGGCTCACCACCCTGGGAATCTAGTCTCTAATCCATCCGGCATCCTTCTCATAGTCCAGTTGAACCTTGCTGCCTACCAAGAATCTAACACCTCATTCTGTTTAATTAAAGGTCCATTTGTCACGTGTCAAGGAAGCGCCCAAGTCATAAAAGCACTAACTGGAGATTCTCTTTGATACGATTGGAAAACTTGCTTTGTGAATTGGTGTGACTCAATGGGTTGTCTGCAGATATGGAAGTGTATCACATTTTAAGAGATGCTTCATAATCCTACTTTATCTCCCCAACCCTGTGAGGTTACTACACCACGAGCAGCATTTTGCAGATGAAATAACTGAGACTTTAAAATGTCAGATGAACTCGTGTGACCCCAAAAAGTTCCAGCATGGAACATCTCATGCTTTCTTTTGTTTTGAACAAAGTCATGTTTTATAGCCCAGGTTGACTTTGAACTTTCAATTCTCTGTGCTCAGCCTCCCCATTGCTGACATTACAGGGTGGACCACTATGCCTAGCCATGCATTATTTTAATAGGAAGATAGTTTTTAGTTTGGGGGGATGAGCACTCAGGAACGGGTGCTGCTGAGGAGAGCCTGTGTTAAGATGAACTCGACCGAGCACCCGCAGCCCCACATACAGGTCCCCGAAGCACAAGCCTGGAGCAAGTCCAGTTCTGTGACTAAAGATGGCAGTGAAACAAGAAAGGAGTGGACAGGAAAGGGAGAAAATGGGAGTAAGTGATGGGTAGGAGTCTCAGTGTGCTCATCCAGAAAGCGGGTCAATGAAACCTACCACATAGGTGA